CGAACAAACAACCAGGAAACGTCCAAAACGCATCTTCCCGTAATCCCTCTCCTGCTCAGAGCAATGACTACTTACGAGCACGACTGTCCGTCTTGACAGTTACTTGTTTTAAAGGATCCACATATCTAGGCCTAAAAATAGGGACCAATGACCAAGCGCCGAAGGCATTATATAAACTCTCACACATGTGAGAGTCAGATATTCAATGTTTATCACATACTTCTAAAATCCTAACTTTCTATCTTGTATCTCTTTGTGCTCCTATTGACTTTAGCATCAGAGTGTCTTGCAAGTACACCCCCTCCTCCTCCATTCCAGGATTGAAATCGAAGTCTCAGACCCACTTCAGATTTTGATTAACCAGTAAGATTATATATATATATATATATATATATATATATATATATATATATATATATATATATATATATATATATATATATATATATATATATATATATATATATATATAAGGCGTCAAATTGAGGTAACAAGTTTCAAATTCATTTTACTTTTCTTTCTCACATACTGACTTAAGTGTCGGAGTATTAATCTTGCAAGTCTCTCCATTTTACAGCATATAAAGTCTTGATCGACCATCACCACCACTTCTTAATTCATTTCTGATTTCTGAGTTGAACATAGGTTTAATCTTCCTTAATTAGTGGGTCAAAGGGAAGTGGGTAATATATAACCCATATGCTTATTAAACATGTTATCACTAATCTAGATAGAGTGTAGTTAAAAGATATTTCTGTTTTTAAAGTCTTTGTATGTGAAAGATTTAGGTCACTCGAGTCTTTACCTTTATATTCATTATAATTTTGTGTTTTAATATAAATTATTAAATAGGAATATTTCATTTACTTTAAAAGCATTGCACTTAAGTCACAGTCAAAGAGAAAAACATACCTTTATTTGACTAGCCAAGTATGATGGTAAATGACATTTCTGTGTTAAACTTTCTTAATTCATTAAATAATAACATAGAACAATATATTATGTTCATTCAATTTCAATAAAAGACATCGCAATGATAAATGAACCAAGTGGTCCTCAAATCACATGGTACTACAAACATATGCTACTTTGATAATTTACAGTCTTTTGTGCACCAATGATGTAGAGAGGGACAATTGCAAAATGCTTATACTTAACAGGCTGTATAAAATTTGTCTTGCCCACATGAGAATATGTTGAAAAGCTGTTTCATGGTGTGACATTTTGCCATGTTTGATCTAGATTTGGATTTGCCCAAGCCATAACTCATGTTTTAGCCTAGAAAGAGAGGCATGTCATGTGATAAAAGTAAATGGTCCATAACAAGCAAATTATTGATAAGCAATAAGCCAATTTTTAGCTCAACAGAAAAAATGACCTGCATTGATCTAAACCTAAATGTACAATTATTATACTAAAAACTCTTGATTTTCATTTTTTATTATTGTTTCATTACATTAAATTTCTATCTGATTTATTAAAATGACATTGACAATTAAATATATTTTAATATTAAAATATGTATTAATAATTTTTTTTTAGTAGAAGTCAATAAAATGTATTATAATTGTTTGGTTGTCATTACAAAATTTCGTATGTATATATAACTTTAAAAGATTAATATCTATTTTAAAAGTAAATAAAAAATATCGATGTTATTTTAATAAATATTAGAAAAAATGAGTGTAACTTCCACTTAATATAATAAGTGAGAATAAAATATTTGAGATAAAGATATTTGTTATTCAATAAAAATCATTAAGCACTTAGATCAATACAAACCTATCTTTAGATTTGGTTATACAAAGTTTTGAAGATTAACCATCAGATTGAGAGGACGTTTAGAATATTTGCAATAGAGTTAGGTCTCATCAATGTAAGTTAATCTTTAATGTTGTTTTTATCTATCTATTTATTAATGTTTAGATTGCTCGAAGCAATGTCAAATTTAAAGAGAAATTCATCACTACTTCGTCTTCTATTTCTTTTATTCTTTCAGCTTGTTCTCGGGCTGGAAATAATTACAGAGCTTTTTCCTTTATCAATATTCATGATTTTTAGATGCTTAAAAATTTCAAAGTCATAACTCAACCTCCTAATGATCCTCAAATTCTAAAAGTTATTTGGAAGTCTCCTCCACATAACTGGATTAAGATCAATTGTGATGGAGCGTTTTTAGGCAATTCAGGTCCTTCAGCTTGCGGTGGTATTGCTAGAGATTTTGACGGCCGCTTTCTTGGAGCTTTTGCTCATTTTGAGAGTCTCAAACTCTCTCATTGTCGGACTCTTTTGTGCTATATCAACAACTGAGTTTGCTAATAAAAAGGGTTAGCATAGTTTTGTTGGGGACTCCAGAAGAGTCGGGAGCATTAATGAAACTAATGCTTCAAGACCACAAGAGAGTGAGACACCACATCTCAATCCAAAATCTTAAGGTGTTAGGTAAATGTGTCCTCTCTCTTATAAACCCAACACTCCACCCATTCATAAGCAATGTGAGACTTTAACCACTCACACTTGCATCCAATATTCTCTATCACAAGTGTGAGTCCCTCACATTCTATAACATGATCCAACACCGGATCTAGCTCCTGCTCCCCCACCAAACCGAACCAGACTCTGATACCACTTGTTGGGAAAAATAAAGCATAGAGAAAAAAGATGAACAAAATAAGAACAAAAGAGATTAACGTGGAAACTCCAAAATCGGAGAAAAAATCACGACCCTTGTCAAATGACAACCAGAGAATATCACCATGTGAAAATTATTACAACATATAGACTACCCTCAACCATCCAAGACTTCAATACACCCGCAATCTCCAAAGCAAATATTTAACTACCCCTCACAACACTATAAAACAAGAGTATATATATATATATATATATATATATATATATATATATATATATATATATATATATATATATATATATATATATATATATATATATATATATATATATATATATATATATATATATATATATATATATTGAATCCTATATATATCCTTGAATTCTCTCTTCCACCACTAAACTAAACGACATGGGACTTAGAAGAACTTTAATCCTATATATAGTCTTGAAATCTCTCTTCCTTCACAAAATTAACTGATGTAGGACTTCTTCAACATGTATATTTTCAACCAACCCCAACAAATTTATGGTTAGAATCATATTCTATAGTTGTAGTTCAAGCTTTTAAATCCCCCATCAAAGTGCCTTGGCAAATTCGAACCAGATAAATTAACTGTGTAAATATAACTGCTAATATATCTTTTGTGGCTACTCACATCTATAGAGAAAGGAATGGTTGCGCCGAGTCTCTTGCTAACATAGGCCTTTCGATAACAAATTTGATTATTTTCAGTTTAATATCTATTTTTTATGGCAGGTTTTGTAAAGAATAACTTTGGTTTGCCTTTTTTTAGGTTCGTTTTTTCATGAAAGACTTTTGGTATAGTCATTCTCTCTATTTTGTACCAGTTTCCTTTTTATATATATTATCTTATTAAAAAAATACTAACCTATCTTTCTTTTCACTCAATAAATTAATGTTTGAATTTCAGTAAAATACTGTCTTTATTTTCACTCAATAAATTAATGTTTGAATTTCAGTAAAATATAGTTACTATGTCTCTCAAATTTACACTAATTTTGATGTAAAACAATCTTATGAGATACATTTTTGAAGACCATAAATTTCTACCACCAATATATTGTGTTAGGGAAGTATGAAGAGCGATGTCCGGAAGTGGTAATGGACTAAACGTTCATGGTTATAAGAAATCTTAACACCATATATTCATCTAAAACCTTAAGTCAATATGGGTATGAGTCACCTATCTTATAAACTCAAACAACAATCTCTCCCACAAATGTGAGTCACCCATATCATTAGTCTTAATTTACACTAAGACCCACTTCCGCTCTCCCACCGAGCTAACTATTCATGGTTACAAGAGACTTTGACACCCCATATCAAAACACTTTTTAAAAGTGTTCCGATAAAATGTATTATTAAGACACTGAATATCTTTCAAAAAGTGTTCAGGTTAAAAAAATTCTAAATATTTAAGCAACAATTCAAAACTGTACCCTAAAATAACGAAACTGTTTCTCAAATATAGTCTTTTTACTTTAAGTCGCGCTTTTAAATTGGTACCGAAACTCATTTTGAAAAAATGAGTTTATCCGAAACACTTTTTTAAAGATGTTCGGTCTTAATAATACCCAAAATCGGAACACTTTTCAAAAGTGTGCCAAAATGATAATTTTTTAAAAAATTTGTAAAGCAATGATATCCAACTGAAATACTTTCAAAAAGTATTCTGATATGACAATTATTTTACCGGAACACTTTCAAAAAGTGTTCTAGTATAATAATCTGTTTATCAAAACACTTTTAAAATACATTTCGGTGTGAATTTCTTTTTTTGAAGTTTTGAAACAAGATTGTTATTTAACAGAACACTTTCATAAAATGTTCTGATATACCAATTTTTTTCTGTATCGAAATTTCAAAACATAAATGATAAAAAAAATAAAATGAGACAAAGAAATTATTTATATAGGGCATTTTGGTCAAGTTATTTTTAACGTAGGGGTAGAGAAATAAATATGGGATATATGATCAAAGAAAGTAGCAATGAAATGAATGTATGAGTCACCTCATTTATAAAATCAATATTTTTTCATTCCTAGTCAAATATAAAACTTTAGAACAACTTTGTCTTGAAACTCAAGGTATTGCTAACTTGGTTTTGCAAAATTCAGTTGTTATAAACAAAAGCTTGTTCTGAGTACAAATAGTCTCAATATATGAAAATAGCATATTACACACATGACACATTAAACACATATTTAATCCACAAGATCCATCATAAAACATCATATAAATTTACAATATATAAACTTTAGTAAACTGATCATAATCCATTTACATAAACCCTCCTCATAAACATAGAAATCAAATTTTATTAACATGAAACACAAAATCACCACAAATTATAAACAACATGCCAATACCTATTCTTCAACCACTTGAAGCTCTTCCTAAAAGAACCTTTCACCTTCCCTTCCACAGTATACATTTTATAGCTAGCAACTCTTTTCTTCCTTTGAAATTCAGGATCATCACCAAAGCTCCAAGACTTAGAAACTGAAGACCTTGATGAATCACTTTTTCCTTTCTTAAACTTCAAGTCCTTAGGACCAATTTGAGTTTGTGCATAAGAAACACTATAAGACCTAGGTGCTCCATAAGAAACTTGTTTGTTGTAATCCTCCATAGAAATTAAGAAAAGAAGATTGAAGAGATGTCTCACTTTTCAAAGGTCAAGCTTTTATTTTCTTGTATTTGATAAGAAACGTGATCAAATATTTAAGAGAAAATGGGACAGTGTGGGGTGATCCAACAAAGACTTAGGAGCTAGCTTAGTTTACTTTCATTTATTTTATTTTATTTTTGTATTTTTCTCATCTAATTACAACTCATTAAATTCTACTATCTCTATTCTACCTATAATTCTCTTTTATTTATTTTTTAAAATTATTGTCATTATTTAATTAAAAGACTAATTGAAGAAAAAATTTAGAATATCAATACACAAAATAGATCCCCTAAAAAAACAAAATAGATCAATTTAATATACTATTTAAATATTTTGTCCGATTATACAAGTTAATTGTTTTTTTACACATATTTTAATTTAATTATCTCATTCTAAAAAAAAAAAAATCTTGAAAAATCATAGTAATCTAGAATTTGTTTAGTAAAGTATGATCAATAATAGTTTCATTTAAAATTCAAATTCATTTTTAATAGTTTAATTTTAAGTGAATGTATTAAGCACTTAAATTTAATTACTGTTAGTTTTTTTTATAGAAGAATGTCAAAATTCCAAATGATATTTATAATAAGTGGTGTATGAAGGACAAAATTGAGGAGAATTTGTTTATTTCTTGTTCACATGGACATGCGTTTTTTTTTTTTTTAACTTTGGAAAAAGGCATCTATTGATGTTATTTTAGCTTGATTATTTTGTTAATTGGTAGTAATTCTTATATAATTGGACCATTTTTGCAATTATATAAATGAAAGTTTAAATAAGTTTTATATAATTAAATGATATTTTATTAAATAAAATTATAGAAAATAATATTATAATAAGTTGATAAAGTATATAAGTTGTAGGTCCCTAGCGTATGTGTATGCGAGTGTTTTAAATTTTGGAGTTTTGAATTTTTTTTCCTACTTATACAAAAAAAAAAGAAAGAATATAATTTGATATTTATGGGTAAGATTTTCTTATGAATATAATTTTGACACTAGGAGAACAAAAAGGAAACTACACTAAAAGAGTGTTGCGACTATTATAGGTCTCTCATGTGAGAGATTTTTTTTTTGTTCGTAAACGAATATGAGCTGTTGGATTGGGTGTCTATAGTATCATTCACTGCATTATCACACACAATATCACTACCATCCCTTAACATATTTCTCTCACCCGAGGTCTCAATCTCACAGTGCTGCCATTTTCTGAAGAAAAAAATTCTTCGTCATTTTCTTTTGTCTTCCTTTTTGATTTCTTCTTCATTTTTTCCTTTTTTGATCTTCTTCCATTTTTGATTTGAGTCTGAAGCAAGTTTTTATGAATAAAAAAAGGTAACTCACAGATATTGAATTGAAGATGGATGATGGTGACGCAATTGGGCCTGAAGTAATGTAAGCTAACGTCGATGGTGATCTGCATTTTGTCAGTGATAGATGCTTGGATATCGTTGAACATGACAACACATTTGTTGATGAAGATTCCGAGTTTGAAGAAATTGAAAACGTTGATGAAGATGCGGATGAAGATAGTGACTTTGGCGGAGGTGAATACGATGATGAAGATGCGGATGAAGATTGTGAAGTTGATGGAGGTGAATACGATGACGCGAGCGGTTCTGGTGATGTTGGTGGACACGAATATTGAAATATATATGCAAGGGATGGGGAAGGTTTGGGATGGAGTTCAGACAGTTTGAATGAATCAATATTTTCATATCAAAATCCAGACAAATCGCTTGTTGTTGACGATGTTGATGACATTGCAAAGATGGACATGTTTAACTTGCAGAACGATGATGTTTCGAAGCTGCAATTTAGAAGTCTGGAAATTGCTTACACGTTTTACTGTTGGTTTGAAAAGATGAACGGTTTCGTGGTCCATAAAGGTCAAGTTATTAAAAAAATGGAGATGTTGTTCAACAAACATTTGTTTGTAACCTTGAATGATTCATGCAAAACATAGTAGAACATCGCAAGCACAGTCCGAAGCACGAAACACAGTGTGGATGTGGAGCAAATTTTCGGGTTCATATTGATATAATTTCACATTGTTTGTATGTCACAGTTTTTACCTATGAGCACAATCATGAATTGTTAAAGGAGAAGCACTGCATGTGATCAGTGGTTTTTCCACCTTTATTTACAGTTGATTTTAGTTATAGTTTCTTTATTTTGTCAAGTGTTTTAGTCCATTCTTCTATGTTTTATGTGTTGGTTGTGTATTTTGTTGTTTTCAAGCTCAGAGGAATAAAACCAGGAAAATCAATGAGAGAAGTGCAGAATTTAGAGTTTCGGAGGAAGTCTCAAAAACCAAGCTACAGGGTACGTGACACGGCCACCCGTGTCACATTACATGGCCACCCGTGTCACATGACACGGGCCGTGTTAGGAGAGGATGCTCAGCAGGCGGTTTGAGAGGCAGAGGCAGAGAACGACACATGTACTAGTCTCAACTGACATGACCCGTGTCAGAAGGTCTAGATGAGAGGATTTGTTGGTGTGATGGACAGAGAATGACACGGGTGCATGTAAGGCCCGTAATTTAATTAATTAATTATTTATTAAATTAAATTATTTTTGGATTATTTGTGAAGTTGTATTATGTTAAGAATTATTGGAATGAGTCGTTGGATTATTATTAATTAATTAATTAGTTGATTAATAATAATTATAATGTGGAATTAAAGGGAATATATGAAATAATGTTAGACTTATGCTATTGGTTAGAAGTATTAAAGTGGGGATGTAGGTTAGGCCCAAGAGGATTGTTATATAAGGCTAAGTTGACACAAAGGTTTATTTTAGTTGGAGAATAAAAAGCCTTGTACGTTGCCTGGAAGAGTTGCACGGAGAGAGAAGCAAGCTGCCCGGTGACGAGCAGAACGAAGCAAAGTTGTCGACTAGAGTTTTTGGTAGAGCGACCTTCAATCCAGGTAAGGGTGGGGTTCTGACCTTATAATGGGATTTATGATGTTTGTTATGGAGAATTGGTCGTAATTATGATTGTTGCCCGTGATGTTGTTAGACTTGTTAAGGGAAAATGCACGTTCTGTTATGTTGTGGACGTTTTGAATGGTGTGACTGTCGGTTTAGTTGGTGTGTAGGTTAAATCGTGATGGTCGTTAGGACGTTAGGTTATTTCGAGCAATTGGCAGGAAAATTGGTAATTGTTGAAATGGTCGTTTTAGGGAGGTTCTGCGTGATTGTCTTGTATGTTGATGAATCTGTCGATAGGAATATAGTTTCCTGTTACTGTGTATTCTGAGCGGTTTGCCAGAAGTTATGAATTATAGTGGTGTGGTCGTTAAGACGTTATATCGCGACTGTGTTGTTGGCCGAATTAATGGTCGGGGAGGATACTGAAGTAGTAGGTATCGAGCCGCATTTTAGGCTGCGAGGCATGTCGAGAATGATGCGTTAGATTTTCGAGAAAATTAGGTTGTCGGACATGTCGAGGAGCATAGGTTGGTTGTTACCCTGTTTTCCCCTGTGCGTGTCGAGGAGCATGAATTATTCGTTAGGCTGTCCTAGTTGTTATGCATGTCGAGGGGCACGTAGTTCCCTTTCCCTTTTTCCCGTACATGTTGTGTTTTTGATCGTTAACCGTGTTGTGTGAAATTACTGTTAAGTTGTTGTTTGATTATGTTAATGATTGAATCGTAGATTGATGTGATAGGTTTATGGTCAATATTGATTTATGTTGAGTTGTTGTGATGTTGTGATTGCTATTGTGAATTCTCGTTGATAATGCGAAGTTATAGGGAATTTATATGATGATGAATTACCTCTATTTACTGATAATAATGGTGATGTGGGTTTATGCCTTGCGATGGATGATGATTATTGTGAGTATGTGATAGTGCATTCATATATATTTGCATACTCTATGATGGCCTGGATTGGCAAACTGCGAATAAGGCTTATGCCTTATTGATTCCTCTATTTACTGGCATATTTTAAGATGGGGTACCACATTCATTTGCATAGTATTGAGTCGCATTCCAAGTAATATGATTGAGTTGTTGTGTTGATGAATTAATTGTTGTGTTTTGTTGATAGTCTGTTGTGATTGTTGTTGTTTATAAGTTTTGAAGTGGTGATTTTTGCATGAACTAGTTCTAATATAATATTTATCATACGTTCTATTATAGTGTTTGATATTTCACCCCTTCTCTTTGAATGTTACCCTTATGTTGGTAACGTGCAGGTAATCCAGATTGAAGGCGGTTGACCTTCAGTAGTTCGAATCGGTGTCATTGCTCTGATACGTAACACTCGGGGGGATGAACACTTGTTGCTTTAGTATTTATTATTTCATTTGGCTGAACTTTAAGTTGGTTACTGTTAAGTACTTGTTATTCATAAGTTGCTTTCATGATGGATGAAGATGTTATTGTGATTTCGCTGCGTAGTTGTTCAAGTTGTTAATTTAAAAGATTAATTTATTTTATTGTTGGTTCATCCGAATTTATAAAGTGTTATGTATCCATGTTGAATGCAATGGTTTTTAAGTTGAATTTGTGGCATTCTGATTCAGTTGTATAATTTTTATAACTCTGATTTACATTTATATTGTCGGGTAGAATTAGGGTGTTACAAAGTTAGTATCAAAGCAAAGTTGGTCTGTCCGACCAAGTTGTCGAGTCATAGGATGTTTAACAATCGAGTATTGTTAATTTGAGTTATAATTGTTGTTTATGTTTTAGTGATAAGTTGAGACGGCTGGAAGGAATGATGTTGCACTTGTTGCTGCTTTAGAAGCAATGGCGCATGCTATGGAGAATCAGTCGAACGCTGACGGGAATGCTGGATCTCGTAGTTTGGCAACTTTCCAGAGGGAGAATCCGCCCACGTTCAAGGGAAAGTATGATCCTGAAGGAGCGTTGGATTGGTTGAAAGAGATTGAGAGAATCTTCCGTGTGATGGAGTGCACTCCAGCGCAGAAGGTTCGGTATG